ACAGAAGACTGCTCATCAAAATGGTCTAAATACAAGCATGACCTGGCTGCTAACTGTCAGGGAAGAGTGGTTGCAGCCATGGAGAAAGATGGAGTGGTTTTCATCCGAGGGGAAGGTGTGGGAGCTTATAATCCCCGGCTCAACCTAAAGAACATTCAGAGGAATCTGATCCTCCTACATCCACAGCTTCTTCTCCTTGTGGACCAAATACACCTGGGAGAGGAGAGTCCCCTGGAAACGGCAGCAAGTTTCTTCCACAATGTAGATTTTCCTTTTGAGGAGACAGTAGTAGATGGTGTCCATGGGGCTTTCATCAGGCAGCGAGATGGACTCTATAAAATGTACTGGATGGATGATACTGGCTACAGTGAGAAAGCAACTATTGCCTCAGTGACGTACCCTCGGGGCTATCCCTACAATGGAACAAACTATGTGAATGTCACCATGCATCTCCGAAGTCCCATCACTAGGGCAGCTTACCTCTTCATAGGGCCATCTGTAGATGTTCAGAGCTTCAGCATCCATGGAGACTCTCAGCGACTGGATGTATTCATAGCCACAAGTGAACATGCCTATGCAATTTACCTGTGGACCAGTGAGACCACAGGACAGTCTGCTTTTGCACAGGTCATTGCAGATCGCCAGGAAATTCTGTTTGACTGGAATTCAGCCATCAAGAGCACCACTGTCCCTGAGGTGAAGGACTACACTGCTATTGTGGAACATAACCTACAGCATTTTAAGCCAGTGTTCCAGCTGCTGGAGAAGCAGATCCTATCCCGAGTCCAGAACACAGCTAGCTTTAGGAAGACTGCTGAGCGCCTGCTGAGATTTTCAGATAAGAGACAGACTGAGGAGGCCATTGACAGGATTTTTGCCATATCACAGCAACAGCAGCAGCAGCAAGGCAAATCAAAGAAAAGCCGAAGGTCAGGCAAACGCTATAAATTTGTGGATGCTGTCCCTGATATTTTTGCACAGATTGAAGTCAATGAGAAAAAAATTCGACAAAAAGCTCAGATTTTGGCACAGAAAGAACTACCCATAGATGAAGATGAAGAAATGAAAGACCTTTTAGATTTTGCAGATGTAACATATGAAAAACATAAAAATGGGGCCTTGATGAAAGGCCGGTTTGGACAGGCGCGGATGGTGACAACTAGTCATAGCAGAGCTCCATCGCTATCTGCTTCATATACCAGACTGTTCTTGATTCTGAACATTGCGATTTTCTTTGTCATGTTGGCAATGCAGCTGACTTATTTCCAGAGGTCCCAGAGTCTATATGGCCAAAGATGTCTTTACGCGGTCCTTCTAATAGATAGCTGTATTTTATTATGGTTGTATTCGTCTTGTTCCCAGTCACAGTGTTAGCACTGAAGCCATAAAATTGTTTGATCATTTTATGATCACAAAGAGTCTATGCAAAAAAACAAAACAAAAAAGCCCCAGTTTGTTATTGAACTTTTTTTCCCCTCAGATTCATTTTAGTAAGTTAAGGGAAGACATTTTCATACAAGAAAGCAGAGACATGGAAAAATCAGAATTGGAGCAGCAAAGAATTTATCGAAGGAATAAGAATAGC